GGTAGGACATAGAAACGTCCTGGTGCCGGATCGACCTGGATGAGATGGGGTCCAATTTTGGGATCGATGGAACCTTTTTTAACCATCTTTAATACAGATTTTTCCACTTCCTTAGAAATTTGTGGAGTGGAGTCCTCTGTGAGCTTCCGATAGTGAAGAGGATTGTTTAGTTGTCTTAAGGACTCCTCTTCATAGAATTTAATGTCCATTACGACAGTGGCAGAACCTTTATCAGCTGGTTTGATGATAATATCATCACGCTGACGCAAATTGGCGATGGCCTGTCTCTCATTTTTTGTGAGATTGTCGCGGAAATCTGGACTAGGAGTGTGGTTTTTAACGTCCTCCTCAATGGCCTGAATGAAAGTTTCTAAAGCTGGGCAACGATTCTTAGGGGGATTCCAAGTACTTTTAGGTTTGAATTTGGTAACATTGCCCGTGTTATCCGTGGTGTTGCCGTCGGAATCGGCGAAAAATTCATGGCATCTTAAACGTTGGAAGAAAGCTTCCAGATCCAAAGATAGTTGTTGTGGGTCAGCCTGCCTCGGTTTTGGGCAGGCTGACCCACATATATATATATATATAGTGAAACGATTGAGTAGACAACAAACAGAACCCATAAATAACTGTAACCACAAATAAAATATACAAACAAGTAAAACCTTATTAAAGATTAATAATACTAACAATAATGTTTATTATCACCATCACCTTCCCATAATGTTAATACTTGTTTTTAGAAAAAAATACAAGAAACTAACCAGTACTGGCTGACTCTCGAGCAGATCTCTCGCCGTCTTTTGCTAAAGATGTAACATACACTGTGTACGTCTCTTCAAGAACAACATCGTAATACTCAAAACCATCTGTGTAAATGTCAGTTGTGACTAAAATAGATGTTGAATTGCGTATCACCACTTCGTAATTCAGAACATACCCCACAGCAGGAGGATCCCAGTCGGCACGTAAGTAACTTGAGTTAGTGAATTTCACTACCAAATTCTCCACTGGGCCTGGCACTAGATATAGAAAATATATGCTATCTATAATATAATGTAAGGGTAGGGTGAGGGTTACACCTCAAAATGGGAATGACCTCAGTTTACCTTGGCAGAGTTAAGTCACAATCATTTCTAGCATATGGTGCCTTTTTTGCCATCAATTTAAATTCTTAAATAAAATATACCTGTGGTTGGAATAACATTTTTGGGATTTTTTTCAATGAAGGGTTCTATATATATTTTTCCATAATTGTTTACAATTATAACAAAAATTGAATCACTTAATTATTACAAATACAGTATTATATTATTTGTTTTAAATATTATTTATTAGTATCATTACCAAAATATTATAATCGTTAGACTTACTTGTTGATATACGTAGAGTGTCTGCAGGACTTGTTTGAGTATTGCTAACAGCAACCAGTTTAACCTCGTACTCGTTTCCTGGAGTTAACCCTGTTATTGTGGTTCCAAATTCGCTACCGGAAGCATTCCAAGTCCTTGGTGTTGTTTCAAACTCCACACCCTTATATGTTAATTGATAGAACTCCACAAATCCATTAATCGACGACCAGGTGAATGTTAGAGATGTTAATGTTTGGGAACGATCAATGAACGTTGGTGCATATAAACCTGTGAGTAAAGTTAATGCAAAAATGTGTTAATAATCAAATTTAATAACTAATATACTATTCAATTTATCATTTTATGTGGTTTTATATATCCAGTTAGTTCAATACTGTCTATCCACTGCAGAATAGATGTAATACGCCTGGTATAGAGTATAGAGCAGGCAGCCAGTGGGTGCTGCTTAAGATTGAGGAACGGGAGCTGGAAGTTTATTTCTCAGAGAGAAGATTAATGGAAGGAGATAGAGGGTGCCAGAGAACGTTTCTTCAAAGAAATTACAGCTTGGACTGGTGTAGATAACATCAATTATTTGAAATGGCAAAGGGAAAGATAATTTGGCATTCCATGTTCGCCAAAATCACTGGATATGGCACATGGCGAGATAGAGCAAACTTATTTTTTTCAAATGAAACAAATGAGTAGGTAGACTTTTTTGACTAACGATGAATTTTATTTCACAAGCTTTCATCCCAGTCAATGGGGCTTCATTAGGTGTGTGAGAATGGTAATTGTCAATGCACTCATATTCACAAGGGTTTACATCACTACTTGAATTACTTAATTTACTTCATATTTATTTAGGATTTATTCATAAACCATTATGCTGTTACGGTGCCTAACACCTTTTAACACATCTCCGTTGTTCCAGCTAGATCTTAGTTTCTATTGTTAACTATAGAGATTTACTTTGTTTCTGTATCCAATCAGATTTATTGCTTATCATATATATTTAGCTTAATTATCCAATCATATCAATTTGATGTCCATATTGCTGTATCTTGTGAAACACTTCATTCATCTGATGAAGCCCCATTGACTGGGGCGAAAGCTTGTGAAATAAAGTTCATCATTAGTCAAAAAAGTGCTACCTATTCATTTGTTTCATTGGTATACACTGACTAATATGGCTATACTACTTATTTTTTTCAAACTCACTTGTTGTGACAGACGTCAAGTTACTTGTTTTTGTTGATACTTTAGTTGACAAAGACACTGAAATTATGTATGTTTCTCCTGAAATTAGTTCTGTCACATCTGCTGTTCTGGAAGTTTTTTCGGCAGTTTTATTTCTCAAATGCGTATCTATATTTTGACCATAGTACTCAACAAGGAATGGACCCGAGAGAAAAAGTAGATCTTCAGCCCACCACTTGAAGGTAAAATATGTTTTACCAACATTGTAGAAACTGGTTAGGATGTTGGGTATATCTGTGGTTATAAAAAATTTATTATTAGAATATACAAAATTATTAACTTTAATTATCACATTAAAAACATTGGTTCACTTGAATTTAAACAATTCTACTTGGTGCATCTATTTTTTTTTGTTATAGTTTTTTGAACTTGCACTATACAGAAACTTTTAAGCAAATTAACAAAATAACTTATTAACATTCAATGGAAAATCAATAAAAGCATCATCACTAAATTCTGGGTTTTTTGGTGCATTTTTTTCTATTTACTGTATATTATATATTTATGAGTAAGTAAGTAAACAAATTTTAAGGCATCATGTTATTTGCATATGATTGCTGTTTGATGTGGTGTTTGAAATAAAGAAATAAAGAAATAGTTATATAATTATTTAATGTCACAGAATTTAAATAGTATTAGGTAGACTGTAATTAAACGTCTGGAGGCATCACTGCCCCCATCGTCATCGACTACATTATTTCCATTGCCAATGTTGACTTGTCATATCTCTTTTGAATCAGAAGCTCAACTCACATTTAGAGTGTGCAACAAAAAAAGGTATATTATGAAAACATAACATGATGTAAACATATAAAAAATAAAAATTTCAAACATTAGTTAATGACATAAAATAGTGTTTAAACTAGAGATGGTAAAAAATCATATTTATCAAAAAGTTTACTTCTTATTTTATACTGATCATGGATAACTATCCTGTTGTTGTAGTCTGGTACATATTAGGAAATTCAAGGTCATCAAAAAAGTGATACTTAAGTTTATGGGAGCTGAAATAATGAGTCAAGTAAATGATTCCCAAAATATATTTGAATTGTTGATTGTGGAGTAAATATTATTTATCTTTTTCAAATATATGGTTCTCTGATGAACTGCAGTCTATTACAACCAAAGAAAATATGGTGAGTTGTTAAATTTTCATATTGCATTGTAAGCATGTGCCTGGATTTTGTGTTGATTATGATTCTTTTCTTCCTTTAAGAGTTAGATAATTAAAACGAGCTTTAAAAATGAAGTAAAATCATTTGTATTTTTATGTCTTGAGAATTATTTATTTTTTAATCCTGTATGCTTTGATTAAATTTCCTTAAACACTCACCTGTGCTATAATAAGCCTGCGAAATGTTAAACAAGTCATTGAAACCATAAGTATAAAGATATAACACATAATTAGTGGAGGATGATAGATTGTGAAATGTTACTTCCAAAACATCATTTCCATCAAATTCTTTTTGTTGATAATTAAGAATGCCTTCATTATGCAGATCTGCTCTAAAAGACTTTGCTATTTCTCCACCTGGTAAACTCCAATTAAAGCTTAACGAAGTAAGAGAAGATGACACCACTTCAATCTCTGGATTAGGTGGCACTGAAAAAAGTAAAAGGATTTGTGAAATATAGTAGGCTAAAGGCTAATAAATCCTGTTAAAAAATAACATTTTGTTTTCTTTTTTAGTAAAATAGTTTTGACAAAGCATCTAGGCAGAAGAAAAAATAAAAATAAAGTTTTATTGATGAATGAAAAAATGTGAGTGTGCGAGGTAAAAACAAAAAACGGTGCTATTTAGCCTGAGATCCTATACACATGATCGTGAATGATGTGATGTTACGATGTAAACAGTGTAGTAACGGTATTTATAAATGCTTTAATTTTTATATTAAGCAACAAAAATATATTTCTTATTTTTTGAGGATTTCAAAGCAATGGGCATAACAAAAATAAATAAGAATTTTTTATTGTTTTTGAAATTCCCATACATTTGTAGCGTTGGGCATGTTAATTGGCCAAAAAAATAAAATTTTATTTTTATTTGAAATTATGATTTTTGATTTGAAATTACGATTACGGTTTTTTTAAAAACATCATGTATTCTTTTCTTTTTAAGCTTCTAAAATAGACTAGGGTAACCATACAAATTTCTTAAAACAATCCCCAGCCAAATAAAGCACCAATACAAATAAACACGAACAATAATAAATAAATTGGCAAGAAATATTTTTACATGATATTTTAAACATATTTTGAAATAACTTACATGTATTAACCTCCTTCTGCCGACTTGTGGAATTGTCAGTTATATTAACAGCGACTACAGCAATAATATATGTTTCTCCAGACTTTAACTCAGTCAACAAAGCACTGTAAATATTACCCTCAACTGTTAATTCCTGAGTGGCGTTATCAAAAAACTTTCCAGTTGCTGTTACGACAAACATACTCACAGCATTATCGCTAGGAAACTGCCAGTCAACTTGAATAGCAGTTGCATTTTGAAAAGTGGATTCTTCCAGAATTGGACTTGGGAGTACGCCTTTTAAGAGAAATATAAATTTTAATGAAAACTTAGACAAGATATGGCAAAAATCACAAATAAAAGCAGATAACCATATCAGAACTGCAAACATTTTCATTCATACAGTAGTCATATACAGTAGTCAGAAATGTAATTTCAACTGGCACATTATTACAAACTTTAACAACAAACGACAGGCACACCATTCATATAATAAACAATTTACTTTCAAATTGAACAATTAACTATTAAAAAATAAAACTTATTTTTATAATGTATAACAATGACACACTGATTTAGACTCTGAAAATTAACAGGATTGTTGAAAAACTCAGTTTTTATTTCTGAACAGGAGAGTTCATGTAACATTTGTGAGGAGTGGAAGTCACGTCCGTGAGTCTCCTAGCCTTATTTGGATGGATGGAACTTTTTCAATCATTCAAATTAATATTATTGTAAGATATTTATTTGAAAAATATGATAACTATAATTACTAACCTGCTGAGCACAAGTAGAGAAGACACATTAGAAACACAACCTGAAAAAATGAAAAGAAAGTTAAATAACATACACAACCCTTAATTAGCTCTGCAGTTTCTATAATTCAGAATTCTTGATTTAAACATGTATTGTCCCCTGAAAATGAAAACAAAAATAAAACCCTGATATCCTGATTTTTATACTGGATAATAATAAAAATAATTAAAACACTTGACTGGACTGGAAGTGTTTCGATCATTTTTTTCACTGTAAATTTATGGGTAAACACTTTTTGAATACATTAATTTCTATACCAAATTGATAATTTATGTTACTTCAAATTGAGAAAGTTTATTTCTAAAAATGGTTTTTATGATTTTTTTTTTAGTATTTTCCACTAAAGACAAATACATCATTAATAAATAACAACAATCTGTAGTCTAAAGCAATGATAACTAAGCTTCAAATCATTAGTTTAAGCTACAATTAAAATTAGTAATAATTATAAGCAATAATAGCCAAGCTTCTTATCATTAGTTAATGCTACAAATTTTTTATGCACACATGTTTCCTCTCTCTTTTAAATTTATTGTTCAAAATATTATTACATTATCTATAAGTTTATTTTTACTCTTATCTTATTTAAGATATTTTGTTACCAAGATCTACATAAAATAACAGGCTAATTTAACAATTTTTAAAATGCTTTAGTTATTGTTAATCTCATTGATATATGTCAAATATCAAGGTTTTAAAAAGTGAGAAATAATTCCATTTTCGTGTAAATAGACTTACTAGTTATATTATTATTATTTAGTTTGTAGTTAAGTGTTTGAATAAACAATAGTTGCAGTGCCAGAAGATAAGATAAAGTAAGTGTGTGGATGGAAGGTATCGAGTAAATGAAATTAAAATGTGGGAGATGGTATGGTGTCCGACACCATAAATAAGTACCAATAAATGTATTCAAGAATGGCACTTACTGTAATAGAAAAAATCTCATTTAGGGCGTTATCCGAGAACAGCACTATTTAAAAAATGTGATCTTTGGTAGGTACAATAAAAGGAAGGCTATTGTTAATAATAAAAAAAACAGGATGAGTAAGTAACTGATTATACTGTATTGTATTTATTTTTCAGGGTGTCAACTGTTCAATACTGTGAATCTCTATTTTAAGCATATAAACCTACTTGTACTGTATATATATATATATATGTTAGGATATTTGCTAAGCTTTACTTATTATATTAAACAGCAAGCATTACCTGGCTTATGTTGAAAAGAATACACAAAATGCAGGCGATTGTTGTAGGCAGAAAGTATGAATGAATGAATCATGGCCCTACCCAGTTCAAATAATACAGTGTAAATTAATCCCATATCCCATGTTAGGACAAAAGACTGAAGGATTTGAAATGGAACACAAAAGAACTTGTTTAATGGTTTCCGAAAGATATATGACTGGTTTATTAACTACTGAAAGGTGAAGGAAAGACCTATATTTGTTTTAGATTGATCAGCTATTCAGAAATAAAAAATATATAACAGATACTGGGTAAACAGATATAATGATGACCATTCCCTTGTTATTTATTCCAAGACCATAGTGCAAATTTTGAATGTGTTTTTTTATTTCATGAATTAAAATATTAAATGGAGAACTGAAATGATTTAATGAATTAACATTTAAATCGTTGACAACCTGTAAATATAGATATCCAGAAGTTTTATTTGGACGAATGGTTGCAATATTTGCAGTGGCTTATTTAGCCTAGGAGTCAAGTGAATCGAAGGTGATATGAGGTTATTTCTAACTACGGCCTGTTTATACTTCAACGACAATGATAAACAATAAAAAAGCTAGAGATTGTTCATATAGAAAACAAAGGAAATAAGAGAAGTTTTTACACTAGAACGATTCGATAACGATTTATCAGTTATGCGATGACAACATATTTTGACAAATCAAATAAGATGATGTCATAATCATGTTATCGTTGAAGTATAAACATGCCTTAAAGAACAGACCTTCTTTGAATACCTTGGAGACTTCTCGATATTATTTTTTACAGTATTTAAACAAAGGACTCACAATATGCATACACTTAGGTTGACTAATATTTTTTTCTTCATTTCTGTGAAATATCAGGGGAATTCGTTACTGAAGGTGGGCCTCGTAACCCACTGCATGACTCAACTGGTAGGCGTACCCCGGTCGTCACAGTATGTAACTGATAATCTCCCGAAATTAAATGTCGTGGTGATATACTAATGAGTTTACATAACAAAATAATAAACATTCGGTCTTTAATTAAATAATGTTTAGCCTGGTAGTTAGATCCGATCTATTCTTAGGCCTATATATATTTTGAATTTGACTAATAATTACTCACCTCCATCATATTCCGAATTGTACGCTTCATTTTATTGACACTTCAGTACTGTACGGGGAATAAACTGTAGGAATGCGGCAATGGATAGAGTTCTACTCAACACACATGTAGTGTTTGCACACTTCCTGGCCCTGGGCGTAAAAAATATAAGCCAATGCGGGAAAACAAAAATTTGAATTCCGATTTTAAAATGCAGAACAACTATCCATTCTTAAGCGAACCTTAATATTAAAAATTCAACTATAGCGTTACTCCAACAACTAAGCTAAGTCGCGCGTCCGTCCAACCATACTGCAACCTGGCACTTGGTTCCCCTATTGTAAGCTGAAATTGACTGAAAAGAAATTATCAAAGAGAAGGCTACGCTTCAGTAAACATAATTTCGTACGTAAGAGTCTGATATGACAATGCAAATGCCATAAATTGCTGTGTTCATATAACAATGCTTTTTTCTATGGGGTTCGATAAATTGGAAGCCTTTTTAACACAGAAAAAAAAATCTGTGGCAATTTCTGTTAAAGCCTACGCTAAATTTATTAACTTATTAAAGAAGGAATCACAGAAAAAAGGAATTATTAAATAGCCTAAATGAATGACAGAGATTAGATAGATTCCATAAAATGAATGAATGAATGAATGAATGAATTAATTAATTAACGAATCAATGATGAATAAATGAGACTTTAAAGTCACTTTCAGCTCCATTTAATGTTTTCTTTCTGTCATTTTCTTCTGTTTTTGGTTTTCTTCTAGGCATTTCTCTCTCTTATAGTGACCTTCCAGATGTTCAGATGACGAGATCCAGGATCTTGTCATCTGATCATTTTTTTCTAAAATGATGTACACATAACGAGATCCAGGATCTCGTCATCTAATCATCTCTTCTAAAGGATGTACACATGAGATCCATGATCTCGTCATCTAATCATCTCATCTAAAGGATGTACACATGACGAGATCAAAGATCTCGTCATCTAATCATCTCTTCTAAAGGATGTACACATGAGATCCATGATCTCGTTATCTAATCATCTCATCTAAAGGATGTACACATGACGAGATCAAAGATCTCGTCATCTAATCATCTCTTCTAAAGATGCACACGACGAGATCCAGGATCCCGTCATCTAATCATCTCTTCTAAAGGATGTACACATGACGAGATCCAGAATCCCGTCATCTAATCATCTTTTCTAAAGGATGTACACATGACGAGATCCTGGATCTTGTCATCCGATCATCTCTTCTAAAGGATGTATACATGACGAGATCCATGATCTTGTCATCTGATCATCTCTTCTAAAGGATGTACACATGACGAGATCCAGGATCTCGCCATCAGATCATCTCTTCTAAAAGATGTAGGCCTACACATGACTAGATCCATGATTTCAACATGTCTACATCATGTAGAATAGATAATCAGATGACGAGATCCTGGATCTTGTCATCTGATCATCTATTCTACAGGATGTAGACATGACGAGATCCAGGATCTCGTCAACTGATCATCTCTTCTAAAGTATGTACACATGACAAGATCCAGGATCTCGTCATCTAATCATCTCTTCTAAAGGATGTAGACATGACGAGATTCAAGATCTCGTCATATCTCGTCATCTGATCATCTCTTCTAAATGATGTAGGCATGACGAAATGAAGGATCTCGTCATCTAATCATCTCGTCTAAAGGATGTAGACATGGTGATATCCAGGATCTCCTCATGTGATCATCTATTCTGAGGGATGTAGACATGAGGAGATCTAGAATCGCAACATTTGATCTTCTTTCCTACAGGATGTAGACATGACGAGATAATTATCTAGACATCTGGAAGGTCACCTTAAGTACCTTCAGTTCTTTTCTGATCTACGTATACGGATTTCTCATTTTATTCAGAGCACTTCCTCCAATTGGTGCGTTGAGATTTTTGAATTGTATTGGATTGGAATAAATGAATACATGAACGAACGAATGAACGAATGAGCGGACAGACGAACGACTGAAAGAACTATGACGAAAGAAGGAACTAACGAACGGTGGTTTCATTTCATTTATTTCGTCCAATTTTAAAAACATGTACAACAAAAACAAAAACAAAACAAACAACCTTGACAGAGACAGGATTAAACATAAGCAAACTTAATTGCTGCACAAATTTCTGGGGTGGATGCAGAGGGGGTGCAGACGGTGCGATCGCACCCTCCTAAATTGTATTAAGAAAAATAATTGTTGTATTATATTGTTGATATGAATTATTGGTAAGATTGTTAAGGAACATGAGAGTGCAATTTTCGGGCACCCGGAGGTCAATATTTTTAAATTTTTCGCACCTCAGCCCCAACAATGTTGGGGCTGAAGTGGTGGACTCTCACGCACCCATGGTAGTCCGGTGGCTTATGTCATCCCGTGGGAATTTCGTGATCATTTTGTTTTTGTTTTTTAATTATATACTTTGAAATATGCTGAATCGAATAAAATGAGTCGCCAATTTTTTTACGCTCATCTTCATATGCAAATTAGCTGAAATATGCAAATTAGGTCTGAAAATGTAGGGTACGTTTATCTTGGTAACCACATGTCGTAGAAAGTTGCTTCTTTCTTAAAGTTGTTCAGAACATACATGTTTCTATTTACCCTAATGGAACATTTTCTTAAAAAATGACCGGAAGTGCAATTTTGCCGACCTTATTATCATAAATATGAAAATTAGGGGTGGAAATATATAGGGAGCTATATCTTGAAAACCACTGGTCGTACAGAGTTGCTTTTTGCAGCAAAATGTTTAAAACATGCATATTTATATTTACTATAATGGACAATTTTCTCTAGAAATGATCGGAAATTGCGTTTTTGACCTTTGACC